CTACTTCTAAAAAACTTCCCATCTCCAAAGATTTGCCATGAATATTTAACTCAAATTGGTCAATGTTTTGTAAGATTATATATCTATATATATAATCTTATGACTCATTTTTAGTCAAACTGCAACAAAATGTTTTTGGGACATCTATTAAGTCATTGAAAGTTTTTTTTTTGCTCATAATTTTTTTTCCAAATGCTCAACAAAAACTTTGATAACTAAACAGATCCTAACAATTTGGAATGACTATTTGTAGACCCAAACACCGAAGTAAGACTCAACCAATAGTATTTTTGATAATGGCATCACATACACATCTGGTTAACGTGATGTATTTTTTGTGATCTACTCTTTTGACGGATCTGTTGTTGTCAGGACCTAAATGTAAAGGAATATTCAAATATTTGATAGTTTTGACTTATAGTGACTGACTTTCACGTGAACTTTTCAATATTACATATTGTTCTATTTTATGCCTAATATGTTTGGGGAAATTATATAATACAAAAATTATAATTTTATGTTTATGGGCTCTCCATTTACTCAAAGTAAAACTACAAAGTAACATGGGCCAATTGTTTTACATATTTAATAGCATACCAAAAGTAATAGTGTCTATAAAACGTTTGACTGTTCAATGTATTCTTATTATTGAAAACAAAATTTTACTTTCAAAAGTAATATTTTGCAGAGAAACTTCATTCTTATTGATATAAGACTTATTGTTATAATTTTATGCTCCAAGATATGTACTTTTGTACTTATTGGTTTGACTGTTTTACAAGTACATTTAACAGTAGATATCTATAGCTATATCTCGAGTGCAGATGTGTCTTGACTTTGAAATAAATTATCTTATATCTCTGAAATTATATTTTCTTAAATGTAGATAACAAAGGAATTTTGTACACTAATATTGTAATGTTTTGTTTTTTAAATTGGTAGTATATATACATGTAGCAGTTAATGCAGAAATCTCTTGATCCAAACTTCATATATAAATGGTTTAAAACACAACTTTTAGTCTTGTGTTAAGGCCCAGCATGGCCAGGTGGCTAGGGCTTTCGACTCGCAGTCTGCGGGTTTGTATCCCCATCACACCAAACATGCTCGCCTTTTCAGCCGTGGGGGTGTTATAATGTGATGGTCAATCCCACTATTCGTTG